CACTTTCATGCATTGGAAAAGGAAATGGCAGCCCACTCCAGTGTTTTTGCCTGGAGAATACCAAGGACAGTGGAGCCTGGTGGGCTGCCGTCTATGGGGTCACACAGAGTCGGACACAACTGAAGTGACTTAGCAGCAGCAGGAGCAGCAGCACACAAGCTTACTGGTAGACTCAGGTTCAAGAATTGCCAAATAAATAGAGCAATAGAGCATATCCAATGATGGGAAACAGAATACTGGGACAATATCATTTCTCCTTTTGTATAGATTTACAGGATTAGTGCTATAAATTTACCTACCAAGAAGATAGTCAATCTTGAGCTTCTGTCTACTGTTCCCAAAAGAAATACTGAGAAACTAAGAAGGGAGAATGAATGAAGTAAAATGTATCTGGAATCAAGATTGCCAGGAGAAATATCAATAACCTCAGATATGCAGATGACACCCTTATAACAGGAAGCGAAGAAGAACTAAAGAGCCTCTGATGAAAGTGAAAGAGGAGAGTGAAAAAGTTGGCTTAACACTCAACATTCAAAACTAAGATCATGGCATCCACTCCCATCATTTCATGGCAAATATAATGGGAAACATGGGAAACTTTGAGAGACTTTATTTTGGGGATTCCAGAATCACTGCAGATGGTGACTGCAGCCATGAAATTAAAAGACACTTGCTCCTTGGAAGAAAAGTTATGACCAACCTAGACAGTATATTAAAAAGCAGATATTACTTTGCTGAAAAATGTCCATCTAGTCAAAACTATGGTTTTTCCAGTAGTCATGTATGGATGTGAGAGCTGGACTATAAAGAAAGCTGACCATCAAAGAATTAATGCTTTTGAACTGTGGTGTTGGAGAAGACTCTTGAGAGTCCCTTGGACAGCAAGGAGATCCAACCAGTCAATCTTAAAGGAAATCAGTCCTGAATATTTATTGGAAGGACTGAAGCTGATGCTAAAGCTCCAATACTGATTGGAGTATATATATGAATAACTGATTCATTGGAAAAGACCCTGATGCTGGGAAAGACTGAAGGAGGGAGGAGAAGGGGACGACAGAGGATGAGATGACTGGAAGCATCACTGACTCGATGGACATGAGTTTGAGCAAGCTCCAGGAGTTGGTGATGCACAGGGAAGCCTGGCATGCTGTAGTCCATGGGGTCGCAAAGAGTTGGACATGACTGAGTGACTGAACTGAACTAAATTGAATAACTATATAGCTGTAGCCTGCAGAGAAGCAGGTGACAGGATGGGTAACAGGAAAGTTTAATCTTCTGCCCCTATTTCATTGTGTAAATTGGGAAACAGTGTCTCAGGCCACAGATGCCAGAAGCCACAAGGTAAGGTCAGGACAGCACAAAGAATGGGACGATTGAGCCAGTAGGGCTGCAGCGTCTGTGCTAATAGCCACTTGAAATCACCTCACCTTAGGGTGAGGACTGGCCTTTCTGAAATGTACACTTTAAATAGCAGATCAAGATTGGACTAGAAATAAGAGAATAGCATTAAGCATCAGAGTGAATCAGGCTGCATAAGAGTGAATGTTCTTTCCTGAAATTTGGCAAGATGTGAAATATATTTCTGACTGAATGCGGCTCAAGAGAGTCAAAATCAGTGCTCTGAACTATGAAAAGTTAGAAAACTTGATTCAAAAGACCTCCCCAGACCCCGCTGCTCAACCTCTTCCATGCAGAGAAGGAATCTTAGAACAAACTAAGTCTGGCTGTGGGCAGAGAGGCAACACTGGAAGGTGTGCGTCCTCTGGGACCCTCCTCTGCAGTCAGGGGTGCTGCACCCCCCACCCAGCTTCCAGTCTGGGATGCAGAGTCTCTCTGTGCTCGTGGGGCAGCTGGACAGAGGCGCAGACCTGACCCGGAGGGAGCTGTTGCAGCAGCATTTCCTCAAGGTCTCCCAAGTGAGTGCCCTCAGGAGTGGGTTCTGGGGAGGGGGCATCTTCCCAGGGGGTCCAGAGAATCCAGCTCCACTCCCAGCTCAGCCCCGGAAGTCCCTAAGCCACGGGTCCCCGTGTGATGTCACCCGACTTCTGTCTGCCTCAGAGGTCTGAGAAAGTGCGGGCCTGGGTCTGGGAGGAGGGTCCAGTCCCTCAGAGAGGAAGCTGGCGCTGGCCCTATGGGAGAGTCAGGGGGAGGAGCCTGAGGGAGGATTAAGACCTCACAGGATCCGAGTCCTCCCTGGGAGACCCTGAGCAGGCTCGTCGGAATGGGCCCCTCGGTTCCACTTCAGGGGACCAGAGGGGGAGGGCCTGGGTCTCAGGGCAGAAAATTCAAGTGGGCAGAGACACAAGCCCAGGTCCTGAAGGGAGCCAAGATGAAGAGCAAAGGGAACAGTGAAGGGTTCTTGGAGCCTGGAAAAGCGGGGCAGTAGGAATGTGGGACATCCCAGAGAAGCCCACCCCTGATGTCAAGCCAGGGAGGACCCAGGTGGATGAGTACGTGGCAGGGTGTCTTGAGTTTCGCATTAGGTCTCAGCCAGACTAGGACTTGATGCAATGGGGGTGGGAGTGGGGGCTCAGGTGGGCTAATGAGAAGCCTAGGGACTACTGGGACTGAAAGTGAAGACCCTGAGGGAGTACTGAGGGGACCCTGGACTCCAGAATGTGGGTGAGGGTGGAGTGTCCCAGAGAAACTGGCCCTGCCCTCAGCTGTGGGAGGCCGCGGAGTGAGATAAGCAAGTGGCAGCCTGTGCTGACTTCCTCATCTGGGTCCCAGAGAGACTGGGAACCTGGAATGGGGTGGGCACTCAGGTGGGCGAGGGAGGGGCGGTTACATGCGACCAAAATGAAAGTGAGGACACTGAGGGAGGACTTAGGGGACCCCGGGCCCCAGAACAGAGGCGACTCCAGCAAAACACGCCCCTGCCGCCAGGCGTGGGAGACCGCCAGGTGAGAGGAGCAAATGTGGTGTGTCCCAACTTCCGCATCCGGGTCTTAGCGAGGCTGGGGCCCTGGTGTGAGGAGCGGGCTGTCTGGATGAAGACAGGCCACCCAGGACCTGCAGGGGTATTAGTTGGAGACCCTGAGGGAGAGTCGGCCCCTGGACTTCAGAACCCAGCAGCCCCCGCTCCGTCCCTGCTGTTACCCTGGAGTCTGGGCGTCTGGCTCCAAGTGCAGCCCCCTGAGGGCAACCTCTCCATTTGGACCACCTGAAGGTCTGGATTGAGGAGTCAGGAGGCTGCAGGTGGGCAGAGCAAGGGGTCTGGGCTCTGTCAGACAGTGAGGGAGGACCCCGAATAGGACTAGGAAACATTCCCCCCTAACTGCAACACCTCGGGGTTCAGGGGGCCTGAGTCCAAGGGATTCCAGGGTGAGCCCAGGTGGGAAAGGCCTGAGCCCGCCCTTGGGGAGGACTGCCGGGTCCCTCGCTCAAAGAGAAGGGAACCCACCTGCAGGGCGTCAGCTGTACCCCAGCCAGAGCCCAGCAGGGAGGCCGGGGTGATGCACTCTCTTCTTGCCAAGGTGCTTGGAGGGCTCTGGGGGGGCTCATGGGAGGCTCTGGGAGGCTCAGGCTTCTGGGGGAATCCGTCAGCATGGGTCAGGCCAGGCTGCACAGCAATCAAACCGAAGGTCCTGAGGACATGGTGAGGAGGCAGCCTCCCCCAGACATAGTGAGGAGGCAGCCTCCCCCAGAAGAGAAGGGGCCCTGCGTGTGGAGTTGAGGGGAATGCAAGGGGAGGAGTGCGCCTAATGTGGAGGGGGATCTGGAGGGGGAGGACACTGCAGGGAAGCGATCTGGGGAGCATGTCTGCTCAGCAGCAGGAGGAGCCCCTGAGTCACCAGGAGTCAAGGTGAGGATCCTGAGGAGGAGTGGGGGACCCCAACCGCCACCACAAAGAGGGGGCCACAGAAATCCCTCCTGCCAGCCCTAGAAACCATCAGAGCCCTGAGGCCCACCAGCTCACCTAGATGGTTGGTCAATGCCAGGGGGCCTTCCTCTGAGGGTCTGGCCTCAGGCCCTCACAGAGGTCAGGGGGAGCACTGGGGAGACCCCTCTTCACACACAGTACTTGAAGGCCAGCCTGCCTTGCCCCTTTGGTCACCCTGGGGTGGCCCAGAAGAGGTGGGTGCATTGGTGCTCTCACTTCCATTGTCATGAATGTTAAGGCCATTGCTTAAGGAGATGGGTCACAGTCAACAAAGGGCACTGCCCCAGGCCTTCCAGGGTGTCAAGGTGGACACTGAGCCGACTGCCCATCGTCCCAGCACAGAGGGACTCCATAGGGTTTGGCCATCCCTTGTTGTCCCTTGTGAGCCCTGTTAGCCCCTGAGCAGGCATGACCAGTATTCAAGGCCCCTGTTTCTCCCTTTCAGTACAGGGAATTTGTCTTGAGAATTTTGCCTCAGGACAACAGTCAGGAGGACCCAGACCCTGGCGGGAGGAAGTGGAGGACCTTTTGTGAGCACAGGGAGGAACCACTCACCTCAGGACAGGGGGAACCTCACCGAATACAGCCCAGTCCTCCTGTCAGCACCGAGTGGCCCAGCGCCATGCCACAGTCTACAGCTGAGGTGCCCCCTTGTTTCCTCTCACAGGGGCTCCAGGAACCCAGAGTTGAAAGCACAAGTCCTTGTGTCCACAGGTTGCAGAGCAGAGGAGGTCCAGGCAGTGCCAGGAGTCTAGGTGAGGTAGGTGCCCTGAATGTGCACTGGGGGCTCCCATCCCAGAACAGACGGGACTCCACAAGGCCCAAATTTCCCCCGCCATATCAGCCCCAGGACCTTGGACTGTGCTTACTATACCCCTGGGAACCACCTCACTTCCTTCTTCGGGTTAGCAACAGACAGCCTGCCCAGCAGGAGCACCCTTGTGAGGCCAGAGAGCACCCCTCAAGAGGATACCTGTCAGTGGCCTGTGTCAGACCACCCAGGGTGGATTTCTCAGCCGAGGCCGTGCACAACCCCTCTCTCCCCCAGGCTCGTGGTCCCCATCTGTCCCCCTGCCTCACTTCTGTCTGTGATTTGATCCCAGTCATCATGCCTGGAATGAGCGAGCTCCACGAGGAGAGTGAGTCCAGCCTTCAGGACCCAAGGGAGGCTGAGAGCCCAATGGAGGCACAGTTCATTTGGGTGGGGGAGGAGGAGGGAGGGGAGGTGGAGGAGGAGAAGGAGATGGAGGTGGAGGAGGAGGTTGCATCCCTTTCCCCCTCCTCCTTGCTTTCCTCCTCCTCCTCTGTCCTGCTCCTGGGCACCCTGGAGGAGCTGGAGTTGGCTGATGCTGAGGCATCTTGTCCCCCTCCCCAAGACCTCAGCGTGCCTTCCCCTCCTCCCCTGCCATGGCTCCCGCTCCATGGAGCCAATCCGAAGATGAGGCCTCTAGCAGCCAAGATGAGGAGGGGCCGAGCACTGGGCAGGACCAGGAAGGTGCCAAGTCCATGCACCCAGACTCACTGCATCTGCTGGTGGTGGAGCTGGTACACTTCCTGCTCCTCAAGTATTGCACCAAGGAGCCGACCACGAAGGATGAGATCCTGAACATGGTCCTCAAAGAAGACGGGCACCACTTCCCTGAGGCCTTTCGCCAAGCCTCAGACTGCCTGCAGCTGGTTTTCAGTGTGGATGTGAGGGAGGTGGACCACACGAAGCACACCTACATGCTAGTCCCCACCCTGGGCCTCACCTGCAATGGGATGGTGAGCGATGGGCACAGCATGCCGAAGACCAGCTTCCTGGTGGTGGTTCTAGGCATGATCCTTCTGGAGGGCAACTGTGCCCTTGAGGAGGAGATCTGGGAAACCCTGAACGACATGGGTGTATATGCTGGGAGGGAGCACTACATCTATGGGGAGCCCAGGAAGCTGCTGACCCAAATGTGGGTGCAGGAGGGGTACCTGGAGTACCAGATGGCTCCCCACAGTGACCCTGTTCACTACGAGTTCCTGTGGGGTCCCCGGGCCTATGCAGCGACCAGCAAGTGGCACGTCCTAGAGCATCTGCTCAGAATCAATCAAGGGGCTTCCAGGTCCTTCCTACTCCCATCTTCAAAGGCTGTGAGGGAGGAGGAAGTGGGGCCCTGAGCCAGAGCAACAGCCAAGCTCTTTTCAGGCCTATGTCCAACAGCTTGTCCTGGGGGCAGGAAGGGAGGCTGATCCTTCCTTCCATGACTGAAGAGGGAGCAGTCAGCCTTCTCAGTCGTGAGGGCCTGGGCCAGTTGTGGGGACACAGTGTGTAGCATCTTTGGGTTCCTTCTTTCCACAGTGACATGGAGATTCATCTCTGTTTTCTTTAGGAATTTTTGAAATGTTATTTTTTTCATCTAAAGTCTTAATTTCAGTATCTAACTTTTTGAATGCCATTGATTGCACTTGTATTGGTACTTACTTAGTTTAAGGATAGGAATTTTGCTGTTTTGTAAGAGAGATTGTATTTTATTTTGTGACCCTGAACAAGCTAACATTTCATTGGAATAGAAATTTTCTCGGAAATGAGAAAGAACTTAATAAAAGTGATGGGAGTCAAGAAATAGTGAAACTGGGAATTCCCTGACAATGCAGCTGTTAGGACTCAGTGCTTTCACTGCTGGGGCCCAGGTTTGATCCCTGGTTAGGGAAATAAGATCCCCAAAACAACTGGACATGAGGAAAAAATAAAAGGAAATAAAGAATAAAAAATTTAAGTTAATTCTAAAATCTTTTGTCTTCTTCTCTGTCATTCTATAAAACTAAAATATCTGTGTTTTGTTGGATTTGCATGAGTTATTGAAGAAAGTAGGATAAAATTGGTCTGAGTTGTTAAGCACCTTGCTCACTGGCTTATTTATTCCCCAGAACTTCATGGAGTCTCTGCTCTGTGGAAGGCCCTTGTTAGCAGTGGGGACAGTAGGAGAAGCAGAACACCCCCAAACCTAGAGTGATGGTCTAGGAGCCAAAGTCACATGAGGAAGGTGTAGAGACGTCCCCTAGTCCCACAGAACAAGGAAACAAGGGGCGGGGCAGAGAGGCTCCAGGAGGAGAACTCAAGTGTTGGTGCCTGAGCCAGGGAGGTTTGGGGCTTTGGGAAGCTGGGTTCCTTCTGTGGGAGGTGACTGTGATGAGGCTGGGTGGTAGTGTTGTAGCAAAAAGGAAAACAAGAAGAATGAGTTTTTTTCCCCCCATTCCTGAGAAGAAAGAATGTAAAGAGAACAGGAACCAGGCCTGAACATTCCTACTTTTTTAACTTTAACTTCTCCTAACTCTGTATGTCTGTAACTAAGACTTCTTTCCTGCCCCATAACTCTACAGGAGCTATGAAAGTGTGAAAGTCACTGAGTCCGACTCTTGGCAACTCCAAGGACTGTATGTATAGTCCATGGAATTCTCCAGACCAGAATACTGGAGTGGGTAGCCTATCCCTTCTCCAGTGGATCTTCTCGACCCAGGAATAGAACTGGGGTCTCCTGCATTGCAGGTGGATTCTTTACCAGCTGAGCTACCAGGGAAGCCCATAGGAGCTATACTTCACACCTATTTTTCTTTGACTCTATGCTAAATACATCATGTATCTGGTGTTTACCCTTATAACTCCCTTCCTCTTGTAGTTACTGATCAGAAAGAAGGCCACAGAGTCTCCAAACTACCAGGCTCAATTAATGGGTTACTGATGCCAGTCTATGACTGACTTTGAGAGGAAGAAATCAAGATCCTAATACCTTTGTTCCTCATCACTGACTCCTGACTGGGAGCCCTCATCTTATATCAGCCCCTAGATTCCTCATGGACAGGGGGCTCAGTTTTTGAGGCATGAGCCTACTTTGTTCCCCTCTCTGCTGGCTGAGAATTAAAGCCACCTTTCTATTGCCTCCACACTCTGTCTCCATGTTTTTTATTTGTCTTCAGTGGACAGAGAAAGCCAAGATTTTAGCCAGCTGCAGTGGCAGCCCTCAGACCTGCAGATGGTGTGTCTTGGGGATGAGGGAAAGTCTGAAAGGGGTCTTTGCTGAGCAGTGTCCTGTGGAATCCTGGGTAAAACCAGAAAGATCTCTTCCTGGGGAAAGAAAGGAAGTTGGCCTGGGTGCCTGTTGCATTGCATTTGAATGGAGGTAGGGAGCAAGGTGTTTTATACCCACATCTCCAAGTGTTTCCTCAGAGGAAGAGTGACTCCCCCATGATGTGAGGCCCAGAACCTGCTGAACAGAGGTCTTCTTCCTTGTCTCAGAGAGCCAGGGTTGACTCCAGGAAACTGACCAAATAGTTTTTACCTTGAGTGTTACTTGACCAATGTTAAACAAGGTCTAGAATTTTGTAGGAATAAAATGAGTGAAAATAGTGGTTTGGATGCAAGAGGAGCTGCCAAAGAGGGAAGGAGTTGATTAAAAATTCCATCTGAAAGAAGCACTGTTCAACTTCACTGAAGTGTAATTTGAATACCATAAAACCAGTCAGTTTCGTAAGTCATGTAGCCATCATCACAGTCCAGTTTTGGAACATTTCCATCACTCAGGAAGATGACCTCTGCCCACCTACAGTTAATCCCTAATTTCCCAGCCCACTCCCATGCAGTCATTGCTCTCCTTCCCATCTCTACTGATTTGCCTTTCCTGGAAATTGCATAGAAAAGGAGTAACATGACTTATTTCCTTGATCCATGCTGTACCACAGGTTTGTCATTCTTTTCTTTTTATTCCTAACCAGAATTCCACTTTAAGGATATGTGAAAACAGTTTTAAATTTTGATAAATTATACTGTATTGATTTTTTTTCCTTTCATGGATTAGGCTTTGGTGTTGTATTTGGGAAAATATTGTCTAAAGCAAAGTCATGAACATTTTCTACTATGAATTAATTTTTGTGTATGTTCTGAGGAAATGGTGTAAACTCACATTTTTTTCGTAGGTGGATCCCCCTTCTCTCAGCACCAATTGTTGAAAAGTGGATTTATTCCTTCCATGTGGATCTAGCACCTTGAAAAACATCCATGAACCATAAACAAATGAGCTTATTTATGAACTCTCAATTCTGTCCCATTGAGCTGTACATCTACCCTTACAATAAAACTGTATTTTCATCTGTATGTCTTCTTTGGAGAAATGTCTGTTTAGTTCTTTGGCCCATTTTTTGATTGAGTCATTTATTTTTCTGGAATTGAGCTGCAGGAGTTGCTTGTATATTTTTGAGATTAATCCTTTGTCTGTTGCTTCATTTGCTATTATTTTCTCCCATTCTGAAAGTTGTCTTTTCACCTTGCTTATAGTTTCCTTTGTTGTGCAAAAGCTTTTAAGTTTAATTAGGTTCCATTTGTTTATTTTTGCTTTTATTTCCAATATTCTGGGAGGTGGGTTGTAGGGGATCCTGCTGTGTTTTATGTCACAGAGTGTTTTGCCTATGCTCTCCTCTAGGAGTTTTATAGTTTCTGGTCTTACATTTAGATCTTTAATCCATTTTGAGTTTATTTTTGTGTATGGTGTAGAAAGTGTTCTAGTTTCATTCTTTTACAAGTGGTTGACCAGTTTTCCCAGCACCACTTGTTAAAGAGGTTGTCTTTTTTCCATTGTATGCAAATCAAAACCACAATGAGGTACCATTACATGCCAGTCAGGATGGCTGCTATCAAAAAGTCTACAAGCAATAAATGCTGGAGAGGGTGTGGAGAAAAGGGAACCCTCTTACACTGTTGGTGGGAATGCGAACGATTACAGCCACTATGGAGAACAGTGTGGAGATTCCTTAAAAAACTGGAAATAGAACTGCCATATGACCCAGCAATCCCACTCCTGGGCATATACACCGAGAAAACCAGATCTGAAAGAGACACGTGCACCCCAATGTTCATCGCAGCACTGTTTATAATTGCCAGAACATGGAAGCAACCTAGATGCCCATCAGCAGACGAATGGATAAGGAAGCTGTGGTACATATACACCATGGAATATTACTCAGCCATTAAAAAGAATTCATTTGAATCAGTTCTAATGAGATGGATGAAACTGGAGCCCATTATACAGAGTGAAGTAAGCCAGAAAGATAAACACCAGTACAGTATACTAACACATATATATGGAATTTAAAAAGATGGTAATGATAATCCCATATGCAAAACAGAAAAAAAGACACAGATGAATAGAACAGACTTTTGGACTCTGTGGCAGAAGGCGAGGGTGGGATGATCTGAGAGGATAGCATTGAAGCAAGTATGCTATCAAGGGTGAAACAGATCACCAGCCCAGGTTGGATGCATGAGACAAGTGCTCAGGGCTGGTGCACTGGGAAGACCCAGAGGGATGGGATGGGGAGGGAGGTGGGAGGGGGGATCGGGATGGGGAACACATGTAAATCCATGGCTGATTCATGTCAATGTATGGCAAAAACCACTACATTGTTGTAAAGTACTTAGCCTCCAACTAATAAATATAAATGAAAAAAAAACCTGTATTTTCATGATGCCTTTATCATAACACTGGGTTTTGAAATCATGAAAGGCAAGTAAACTTTCCATCGGCCCCCACCCCTCACCACATTTTGTGTCTATTCTGGGTCTTTTACATCGTCGTTTTTGAATCAGCTTGTCCATTTTTACAGAAAAGTCTCTGGGCATTTGGGGAGGGACTGGAGAGAATCCACACATCGCACTGGAGGCAACCACAGTCTGACAGCATCGCACCTCCTGACTCATGAGCAGAGAGCCCTTCTCTCTCATAGATATTTGCAAACCCCACTCAGCAAAGTTTTGTAGTTTTCAGTGTGGAATTCACACACATCTTTTGTTAGTATATTAGTCTTCTTCCGAAGTATTTCCTTCCTTTGGATGCTATGGTGAACGGAATTGTTCTCTTAATTTCACTTTGGGATGATTCATTGCTACTATACAGAAATATACTTGGTTTTTTAAAAACACTGATCTCACACCCTGCATATTGGCTGAACTCATTAACTGGTTCTTATATGTTTTATTTATTTATTTAATTTTGGTGGGTTCACTTGAATTTTTGCTGTGCAAGTTCATATTGTCTCTCAGTAATACCAGGTTTCTTGTTTCCTTTGGAATGGTGTAAAGAGTAAAAGTTAAATTTCACCAATTGCTCTCACTTCTCTCTGATATGGGG